TGTTCTTTGGGGCTCTCCATCATTTATATTTGACAAATATTTCTATGAAATGTTGTGATGCTGCGCTGACCAGCCCTGAGTTTCAGCAGTTTGTTGATGCCATATACCCACACGCCTTTGGCTGCAAAACTCATGACCAGATTCTGGAAGTCGCATCACTCAAAAATCACATCCATGCTCTCCGGACACATCCAGGGAAATACCCAATTTCACAGAAAAATGGAAATAAGCGTACAGTGAGAGTCACTTAACGGCAGCTTTAGGGGAAGGCTGTGTTATTTGAAGAGTCCTGCCCCTTCCCCAAGGGCAGAGACGAAGCCCGGAATGCCCCGAGGCAGCAGCAGCCAGCCCTGACCCCGCAGGCTCCTGCTCTCCTCCCCGGCTCTGCCACCTCTAACACAGCAAGGCAGAACTGCCTCAGCCGGGCATCCCGAACTCCTGAAACGGCTCTGGAAGAATCACCCAGCCACGGAACAAGGGCACAGCTCCTGCACAAGGAGCTCTGGGCATCGTGGAATCGCAAAACCCCAAAGTGGTTTGGGCTGGAAGGGACCTGACCCCATCCCACTGTCCCAGACTGCTCCAAGCCGTGTCCAGCCCGGCCTGAGCCCTTCCAGGGACGGGGCAGCCTCTCGGCAGGCTGGCAGGGAGGGAGCACAGGGGAAATTTGGGGGCTGTGCAGGGCAGCAGGCTCAGAGGCAATCGTGCAGAACGCCGTGCCCATTTAGGAGGGCAGGGCTGTGCCCTGCAGGTACAAACACCTGACCAGAGGAGGTGCCCCCTGCCCGGGCAGCTCAGGGAGCCACTCTGGGCACTCGGGGGGCTCAGGATGTTTCTGGGGTGCAGCATCCCTGCCCAGCAGCCTGGGAGCACCCAAAGGAGTTCCTGCTGTTTGTTCCATCCCTGTGGCACAGCAGCTCTGGCCGGGGTGCTGCAGCTCACTGTGGCACTCGTATGGAACATTAAAATGAAATAATAATTAAAACTTTGGGGTTTTCTTTGTAGTAAAATAAATTAGTCAAGAAAAGTAAGCTAAGTAATGTTATTTAGTGTTTATTCACACATGTAAATCCCTGTGCCTTCAGTAAGACACCCAACAAGCACGAAAAGCTGGGTTTGCCAGTGCTGTAGAGCAGAGCCATCCTATTAAAGCCATGAATTCAGCCAGAGCATCAGCCCAGCACACACAGCAGCAGCCAGGCCTGCCAAAAGCCACCCCAGTGACCCCCACAGCCAGGCAGGGGCTCCAGCTACACAGAAAAGCTGAGACCCCCACACAAACCCTGGTCAAACACCACTTCTCCCCACAGGAACACTCGTGTGAATTAAACTCCTCCACCTCACCAGAGGAGCTCAGCTGCAAGTGAGGAGCTGAGGAGGGAAGGCTGAAGTGACCAAAACACCTCAGTTTTGCTGTAGAAATCTCATCCTAACGGTGGTCCCAAAATTACAACTGAGATTTGATTTCTGACAGAGAATTACAAAGATTTGACTGTAAAAATTAGAAATTCTCTGACCAGACGAGAGGCCTGTGCAGTGAAAGGTGCTGCTCACGCTGCTCCAGAAGCAGATTTGCCCCGAGTCCCTCAGCCTGGCACCTTCCCCTGGTGCAGCAAAGGGCAGGCAGGAGCTGCAGCCAGCCCGAGCCTCCTCCCTGGCTCCAGCAGCGCTGCCCTGCTCGTGCTCCGCCCGAGCAAACGCGATGCTGTGGCAGCTGCAGGAAGCTCCAGCTGTGCAGGCATCCCTCAGGGACCTGCAGGCCGGACAGGCTGCTGGGAGCAGAGCACAAATCACCTCTTCTGTTAAACCAGCTCTCCTGGCCGCCCCGGCGCCCCGTTAACGTGCTACAATCCCATCAAAATGCAGTAACAGACGTGTACTTTCAAATAAGATAAATTTAAAAACAAACAAACCCACAAAGCTCGAGCTTCTCTACATGTGCCACAGCACCAGAGAGGGAAACTCTTCGCTGCTCAAGCAGGGGAGCAGAGACAGGAGGAAATCAGGAAAACAGAGAAAGCACACCATATAGGAAATGTCAAATATGTCAAAACATTCATGAATACCAACATCTCCCTGTGCACCATCCCCAGCTGCAGAGGTTACTCAGGGCTAACGTTTCAGCAAGTGCAGATTATGCAGTGCAGGGGTTTACTTATACATAAAAAATCAGCTACAGGTGCATCCAAGGTGCTTTTCGCATGCAGCCAGTCCGGGGATTTCTCCCACTAAAGAAAAGCCAGGAGGGTAAAATCACATAAAACCTGAATTTCCCAGCTCTGAGCACCCCAGAGGTGAGTTGCTGCTGGCTGCTCTCGGTGCCGTGGCACACAGATGAGGATAATGAGGCGAGGACCGACAGGAGCTGCTGCGGCCGCATTCCCAAAGAGCTCCCAGGCGGGGCAGCTCCCGTCCCCGAGCCACCAGCTGCGACTTCTGTCAGCCCAGTTCGGTGGCACTGGGAGCCGACACACCCAGGGCATCATCCCATGGTGCAGACCCTCCGAAAAACGCGGCTGAGATGCAAAGCCGGCCGCGGAACAGGGCGGGCAGGGTGAGCAGCACGCCCGGCCTGAACCCACCCCCGGTTCCTTGGGCAGGTTTGGAAATCTCGGCACATTTGGGACAGTCGTGCCTTGGCGTAACCCCCTCGCCCACCCACAGCAGGAGCAGGGAGGTGCCCGGCTCTGGAGAGGAGCAGGAGCCTCCCCTGCGCTGGCACAGCGTGACCTCCCGACGGAGCAAAGGCGCTCCGCTCTTACACCTCGGAGCAGCGCAGGAGTAACTCCTCACTGAGCACTGCAATCGCGTGAGCCAAGCAGAAAGTTGGGCTCGAATCAGCCCAGCGGGTCGGTAACTAGCTACAAAACCCGGGATTCCGAGGGGACAAATCAGAATGGGTCTGGCTGCTCCTCACACGAGCCCAGCGGAACGAGCAGTAACAAATTCCAGCAGCAGCAGCACACAGCTAAAATAATTAAGATAGCTATTGATCTGGAATATTGCAAGCCTGGAGAAGTGAGAGCTTTTCATAAATCCTCCCATTGATACCACCAGTTAAAAACCATTCCTTCAGCTCCGCATTCTGCCTTGAGCTCCCGCTCCCAACGTTTTTCTCAACGTCTCTACGCAGCGCTCGGCATTTCCTCCTGGCTTTGCTGCCTTGCCAGAGCCTGCGGCAGGCAGGACGGCACGGAGGCTGTGCTCCCCCTCCAGCCCAGCCCAGCCCCTGGCAGCGCTGCCCCCGTGCCCACCTGGGTGCCCGTGCCCACCTGGGTGCCCGTGCCCGGCCGGGCGGGTCGCTCCGGGCTCGGCTCCTCCGCGGGTCGGGGCAGGAGAGCACCGGGGCAATGCGAGCCGGGGGAAAAGCCGAGCAGGTGGGAAATGGCCGCTCGGGAAGGATAAATTCTGCTCTCCCCAGGTGCAGAGGGTTAAACCTGTTAGAAAAGTTGCTGCAAAGGGCGCTGATTAAAGTGGTGGAAGCAGCTGATTTCTGGGAGGAATTGGGAGCAGCTGGGGGATGTTTAGAGGGGGATGGAGTTGTTAAATTCTTTCTATAAGGAGGCTTTCGTCTTTCTTTTGCATTTTAAGCCCCTTCCAGAGCGTAGACATTTATACTTCCATATTTATTTACACATATTTAAAGAATGTCTGTATTCTCTCTATATATTTTGGGCATATCTGTGTTCCATGTGCACTGTTTAGGTGAAAGCCACAACTGCTCCAGCCCCGTGCCCGTGGCGATCCCGAGCCCGAGACCCCGCTCGGGATGGATGGGGCAGCACCCGCCTCTGCCCCAGCCCCGCTCCTCGCCCCCAGCACCCGCCTGCCGCGGCACCGACTTTTCTTCCTTCTTACAACTCTTTATTCTCGCAATTTCTCGCCTGACCGAGCCGCGAAGCTCCTTGCCCGGCACACCGGCTACTCGGGGCTCGCCCGCACCGGGGGCTGCAGAGCCGCGGGTGGCAGATCCCCGGCACCCCGGGACGGGGATGCGGCACCGGGATGGGGCACAGCACCGGACAGGGATGCGGCACCGGGATGGGGCACGGCACCGGCCAGGGATGCGGCACCGGGACAGGGATGCGGCACCGGGACAGGGATGCGGCTCCTGGGATGCGGGTCCGGCAGGGGGATGCGGCACCGGGACGGGGTGCAGCACCAGGACGGGGATGCGGCTCCGGGATGCTGCCCGCTAGCTGCGGGGAGAGGCTGCCCCTCACCCGTGTCCGTGGGGTTTTGGGCTCCGCGGGACGCGTGGCACAGAGGAGCAAAACCGATCCCGGCCGTGCCTCCCCCGCGATCCCGGGGCTGAAGTTCCGTGCCCCGCGGACGAACCAGCGGAGTTTGGGTTCCTCCTCCTCCCTCTCCACGCGCGGGACCCCCGTGAGCGCATCCCCGTCCCGGGACCCGCGGGGCTGCGGCCGCGGTGTTGGTACCCCCGGGCTCGGTGCCGGTGCCCCGAACACGGTACCGGTGCCGTGTTCGTGTTCCCGACCCGAAGCTTGGCAGGAGCCCGGCGGGGCTTTGGGGGCAGCGCTCCCGGCCCCCCGCACCCCGCGGTGCTCCGCGCTGCCCGTCCTGCCCCCGAGCCCCTCCGCCGCCGCGGGCGCAGGCTGGGGAATTAAATTCCACCACGAAAGGAGTTTTCCTGAGGAATTAGCCCCCCGACGAAGGGACGCGCCTGAGCAAACGCCGGCGCGGGAGGGGGGAGAGGGATGGATGGCGCAGGATGCGGGTCCTGACGCGGGGTCTGGATGCGGCGGGGACCGAGCGTGGCAAATCCCGGGGAAGGACCAACCTCCGAGCCGCGGCTCTTCCTCCTCTTCCTCGCGCGGAGCCGGCGGCAGCGAACGGGAGCGGCCCCGGCCGTCGCCGCTCCGGGATCGCCGCACGGACAGAGGCTTTTGTCCCCTGGGTGCGGCGCGGGCTGGCGGAGGAGCTTCGCACTTCGGCAGAAAGGAGACGAAATTCGATTCGTTTACATGTTTTATTGTTGTAAACATTAAAATTGTCTTTCTCAAAGAAAGAGTTCTCGGGAGAAAAAATAATAATAATAATAATTATAATAATAATAATAATCCGCGTTTCTAACTGTCGTACACCATATTAAAAAAAGGCAGCGACTTTCCCGTGTGCCAAACCGGGGTATACAAAGAAAAATACTACAGAATATGGCAATATTAAAAATATTACTCGAACATAAAATAATATATTAACCGACAATTTTTAGACATAAAAAAACAAATGGAACAAAACAAACCAAGAATTCAAAGTGCTCAGTAATTTCCAGGGAGTTACGTATAGTATAAGCACTCTGGAAACAGTCAAAAGCTGCTGCATGCAAGATCTGTTTAGCTTTAGACAACAAAATAATCAAGATATAAACTTCTTCTTTAATCAACATCAACAGTACATACAACACTTACAAACAAGGGGTGTCGGGCGGTGTTTACAAACACTATGTGTCCCTTTGGGGGGGATTCCGGGGGTAACACTTGTGCCCACCTATTTTACAATTGAGAAAATGTTTGAAGCTTAGATAACTACCAGTCTTTATAAAAGCTACCAGACTACATAGTGTCTGAAATACTATTTATAGAATATAGACATTACTGAAATAGCAAGTGCCTATAACATTGTCACCCTGGAATCGTCATGCTTCCCTGGTATGGACAGATTGGGTTTTCTCTTTTTTTTATTTTTTTAATTCTCCTCTTTTTAATTTTTTTTTCCCCGAACACATCTAGCTTTTATTTTTGATTCTTTTTTTTTTTAGAATCATTTTCCATGTTTCATCATAAATAGGCACAGAAGAATTTTTTTTTTTTTAAAAAGCCAAACATCTGATAAATTTACAAGCCTTCGCCTTCATTAATGCCACGCCACCCACGCCACGTTTGGGGTTTGGGTGTGTTACAGCTTTCTTTTGCTGCAGAAAACTTTAGTCTTTAGGAGGGTGAGGCTCGTGGGCCGCCTCAACGCTTGGTCTGTCACCGCTTGCCTTTCGCACCAAAGTCCTCAATAATAAACTCATTTAGAAGCCGATAATAAAAAGTTTATACCATGGTATTTGTGTGGTCCGTGAGCTGCATCCATGATGCCCCAGAGCCAAAATGCCCATCGCGTTCTGCCTGCAGGAGTTGCAACTCTGGCTGGGTGGGAGCTGGCACCCAGGGGTGCTGCTCTGGGCCCAGACCAGCTCCCCTTCAGGCAGGTGGAGCTTCTCCTCGGGTCAGCGGAAGCGTGCGGGAAGAGTCTTAGAAAGGTAAAGTGTCCAGGAAAAGTTTGTCAATTATTGCTGGCGGTGGCACCAAATCCTCCAGTTTCAGGTAGAAAATGCGCTGCAGCCCCTGTGTGCAAAGCGTGCGGAGTTCGGGGAGCTTCCCCAAGAGTTTGGACAAATAGTTGGGGCGATTCAGCCCCCCGTTATTGAAAGTCACGTGGTCTTTGAGACAATTTACAATCTTGTTCTGAAGCTCTTCCACCCTCTTGGGTTCCTTAAGCCCGTGCCTCTCTGCAAAGAGAAGGGTGCGGGAGGTTACGGGCCTGGCGCCAGGAGGGCGGGCAGGGGGCAGGAGGGGGGACACTGACCTGTCACCATGGCCAGGGCAGCGATGCAGGAGAAGGCAGAGATGTCGATGTTCATGTTCTGCAAGTTGGAGGAGAATTCCACGATGGAATCGATCCACTCCCCAAAGCCACGGATGCACTGCAACCGGTGCAGGACCACCCCGTTGCAGAAGATCAGCTTCCCCTCCACGGGGTTGGACCTGGAAGGAAGGGGACAACCCCAGAATGAACTGATGGATGGATGAGAGAGGGAGGAAAATTAGACAGAAAGAGAAAACGGAGGAAAGGAAAGAAAAAGACAAAAGATAAGAGAAGGACAAAATATAAGAGTAAAGAAAGAGAGAATGAGCGAAAGAAAGAAAGACAGGGACAGAAAGATAAAATAGAGAAGAGGGAATGAAAGAGAAAAGAACAAGAGAGAACAGGAAAGAAATAAAAAAAATAATAAGAAAGGAGATGATGGGGGAGAAAATCTAAACAACTAATTACTTGAGGAGCAATAAATGAAGGATTTAAGAGGCACCTAATTACCGAGGAGCTAATAAAATGCAGAGCAGTGGACCTTGAAAGGGTCTGGTTCCCTGCCCGCCCCCGCTCACCTGTACGCCAGCCGCAGCACGAACAGCTCCAGGAAGGCGGACTCGAAGAGCAGGTCCTGGTCCGTTTTGGGGAGGTCGGTGAAGCCGGGGATTTTTTCCGCCCACCCTCGGATGATCTCCATGGAGCCGGTCAGGAGATCGTAGAACTGCTGGATGTGCTGGGTGTCGTCACCGCTCAGCTGGTAGTCGGGGTTAGCCTGGAACTGGAAATTCATTTTAAAAAGCACTTAATGAGGTTCTCTAAAGTCTATAACCCGTGAAATTGCTCACCCCGTCCCTGGCCGGGGAGCGGGCTGGGATAACAATTAAAGCTCTCTCTGACCGGTGAGGAAATTAGATGTTCCGGGGCAATTAATTCGATTAGGAACGGCGCTCCGAGGCCGCCGCTCTCCGTGCGCGGGGGGCGCGATCCCGGCGGGGCCGGGCCGGGCCGGGCCGGGCCGATCCCGGCGG